TGTGTGTGTGTGTGTGTGTGTGTGTGTATGTGCGTGGTGTATGTGCGTGGTGTGTGTGCGTGGTGTGCGTGTGCGTGGAGTGTGTGTGTGGTGTGTGTACGTGTGTGTGTATGTAGTGTAGGTGCGTGGTGTGCGTGTGCGTGGTGCGTGTGTGTGTGGTGCGTGTGTGCGTGTGTGTGTGTGTGTGTGAGTGAGTCAGAGAGAGAGAGAGTGTGTGTGTGTATGTGCGTGGTGTGCGTGTGCGTGGAGTGTGTACGTGTGTGTGTATGTGGTGTAGGTGCGTGGTGTGCGTGTGCGTGGTGTGTGGGTGTGTGTGGTGCGTGTGTGTGTGTGTGTGTGGTGCGTGCGTGTGTGTGTGTGTGGTGCGTGCGTGTGTGTGTGGTGCGTGCGTGGTGTTGTGAGTGTGAGTGTGTGGTGTGTGTGTGTGTGTGGTGTGTGTGTGTGGTGTGTGTGAGTGTGTGGTGTGTGTGTGTGTGGTGTGTGTGTGTGTGTGGTGTGTGTGAGTGTGTGTGTGTGTGTGGTGTGTGTGTGTGTGTGGTGTGTGTGTGTGTGTGTGGTGTGTGTGTGTGTGTGGTGTGTGTGTGTGTGTGTGTGTGTGTGTGTGTGGTGTGTGTGTGTGTGTGTGTGTGGTGTGTGTGTGGTGTGTGTGAGTGTGTGGTGTGTGTGAGTGTGTGTGAGTGTGTGGTGTGTGTGAGTGTGTGGTGTGTGTGAGTGTGTGGTGTGTGTGAGTGTGTGGTGTGTGTGAGTGTGTGGTGTGTGTGAGTGTGTGGTGTGTGTGAGTGTGTGGTGTGTGTGAGTGTGTGGTGTGTGTGAGTGTGTGGTGTGTGTGAGTGTGTGTGAGTGTGTGGTGTGTGTGAGTGTGTGGTGTGTGTGAGTGTGTGGTGTGTGTGAGTGTGTGGTGTGTGTGTGTGTGGTGTGTGTGAGTGTGTGGTGTGTGTGAGTGTGTGGTGTGTGTGAGAGTGTGTGGTGTGTGTGAGTGTGTGTGGGTGTGTGGTGTGTGTGATTGTGTGGTGTGTGTGATTGTGTGGTGTGTGTGATTGTGTGGTGTGTGTGAGTGTGTGGTGTGTGTGAGTGTGTGGTGTGTGTGAGTGTGTGGTGTGTGTGAGTGTGTGGTGTGTGTGAGTGTGTGGTGTGTGTGAGTGTGTGGTGTGTGTGAGCGTGTGATGAGTGTGAGTGTGAGTGTGTGTGGTGTGTGTGAGTGTGTGTGGTGAGTGTGAGTGTGAGTGTGAGTGTGTGTGTGGTGAGTGTGAGTGTGTGTGTGGTGAGTGTGAGTGTGTGTGTGGTGAGTGTGAGTGTGTATGTGGTGAGTGTGAGTGTGTGTGTGGTGAGTGTGAGTGTGTGTGTGGTGAGTGTGAGTGTGTGTGTGGTGAGTGTGAGTGTGTGTGTGGTGAGTGTGAGTGTGTGTGTGGTGAGTGTGAGTGTGAGTGTGAGTGTGAGTGTGTGTGTGGTGAGTGTGAGTGTGAGTGTGTGTGTGGTGAGTGTGAGTGTGTGTGTGGTGAGTGTGAGTGTGTGTGTGGTGAGTGTGAGTGTGAGTGTGAGTGTGAGTGTGAGTGTGTTATATGTATCTAATTAGCTAATAATATAAAATACAGATAATTACCCGTTCGAGTGTTGTTTGAGTGACAGAATAATCTTCTATAGATAATTCTTTTCGGTTTTTCTCTAATGTTCCAAATACAGAAGCCCATGTAAGGCCAGCAGCAGGAACAAAATACTCAAGTCGTCCCCATTGCATTTCCCGAAGTTGATTTACTGCAAAAAAAGAGACATTCCAACTGCTACAAGGAAAAAAAAAGTTCAACTACAGTCTACTGTCACATAAGGCCTATAGTTATCTAGTGTTTTTTTTATACCAATTATTCCAAAGCAATTTTCAGGGCCTTCTTCTACCTGGGAATGTAGTTTCAATAAACTGCTTTACAGTAAGCATTTCTGGCGGCATCTCAGCAAAGGTGGTCTCATTTTCGTCTGGAGACTGTGATATGTGTACTCTGAAATATTAATTTTCTTAAGGAAGAAAGTCATTTCTAATAAAATTTTTAAATTTTTGGGAAAATTATTTGAATATGTACAGTATTCCCACCAGCAGTATAAAATAATGCTTGCATGGTTTTGTTGTAGCAATATTCATATTAACTTAAAATATCTAATAAAGAAACTAAGAAAGGAGTGAGAGGAGTTCTAGAAACTCCTTTTATATTGTGAGAAAAATATTATTGATCTATAATGTAAATTAAAATTGACAACATATAAAACTGTAATACCTGATGATTATTGAGTATCCTTCACTAAACTTGCTCTTGAGGTGTTGTGGAGAACCTAAACAGCAAAACTTGCCATTTACCATAATAGCTAACCTTGTACACAATGCTTCACACTCCTCCATACTGGAATGTAAACGACAATATTTTACTAATATAGAACACAAAAAAAAGGCAATTTAGTTTTATTATGAAAATTATCAATATCACATATGTCAACTGAACTTACCTGTGTGATGTAAGAATAATACTCCTACCAGCATCTCGAACAGAAGTGAGCACATCCCAGAGAACACGTCTTGCTACAGGGTCCATCCCTGAGGTTGGCTCATCAAGCAGTACCAAGGGAGGGTCACCTACCAGTGCTACACCAGTACTCAACTTCCTCTTGTTCCCTCCACTAAAACCAAATATACAATTGCAGTGAAAGGAATGGCTTAATTAATGGCATTTTCCTTTACTTCATATAATTTTTTTTCATAAAACTATATATCTACTTATTAACTTAGTTGATAAAGAAAAATATATGAACCTATATTATGGCATGACTACTTTAAACAATCAATATATGTTGGGTGAAACCGAGTGATAAATTGTGGTCACAAAATAACCCTTACCTATAGTTTCCAACCAAATTATCCAAATGAGGAGATACAAGCAATTGTTCTGCTAAGGTCACTATAATTCTGTCAATCTGCCTCTCTGGCACTCCTCTGAGACGTGCAAACATGCGGAGAACTTCTCTTCCTGTCATCTGATCCAGAATGGCATCAAACTGAGGGCAGTATCCTACTTGCTGTTGTACCTGCAAGTATAACTCTATTATGCTTATCTCAGATTTCCCATTTCTGAAATTCATCTGAGAGTGAAAATTAATTTCTAGCAAAAGGCAAAATCTTCTCAGAACTGTTAAATGAAAACAAAAACAAAGTGTACTGTAAGGTCACCCATATCTGTTGTCCATAAATTGTGCAACAACTATCTACTCATTTTAATTCATTGGCCACAGATGGAAAAATATATACCATCAATTTAGTTTATTAAATATGTTTATATAAAGATGCCTCCACAAGTGCTCAGTAACCATGGAGTAAATTATTAGTTCTACCTGTCTCACTTTTTACCTACTTCTTTGACTTTTGGAAAAAATAAAGAAAGAACTATTGGACTATTTTAATTGCAATTTGTACTTAATACCATTATAATAAGCATAATGTAATAACATTACAATAGAATTAAAGAATTACAATAAAAAATAATAAAATAAAATTAAATTAAAATTAAAAACATGTACAGTCAAGGAAAAGCAAAGTCAGGCACAGTCACTAGGGCCTATTAACTGACTCCTTTGTAGTTGAGCACTTGTAGAGCCATCTGTGTACAAGATTAAAAAACAAGATTAATTTGCAGCCAAAAAATACAACATACCTTCTTCAAATCTGATTTGATGCTATATCCATTGACAAATGCATTACCAGATGATACTTGCAAATCACCAGTCAACATTTTGAAAGTTGTGGTTTTGCCTGCTCCATTGATTCCAAGGAGGCCAAAGCATTCCCCTAAAGGTACTCCTAAATTAAGATGATCCACAGCCATAAAGTTCCCTGAGTAAGTCTTGCTAAGGTCACTGTAGAGAAAAAATAATTATGATATTAAACACTACAGAGTATACAAAAAGGTAAAGAAGAATATACAAATAATAGAGCACTGTATAGAAATATAAACTAGAAACTCCCTACCTAAAAATAAGTTTATCAGTATCATGTAACTGAGAAAGAGGAGTGTTTCTGATGCGCAACCGTTCATTCACCACATCTTTATCTTCTTGCATTAGTGGATCAGACTCCTTTTCAACATCTGTGAAAGATTTTCATGATTCCATAATTCTTATTTCATTTCTTTCAGTCTTTAATAACTTTCTATCTTGGAAGATTACAGAAATATAATGACAGTAACTCACCTTCAGTGGGTCTGACTGCTACTTTGCCCCACAAACGATTGGCTGAGTACCTAATCTTCTGGAAAACTTTAAGTTCAATCAGAGCAATAATAAAATAGAAGACTAGGCCCTCCAAGCCCATGAAAACAAGCATGCGTCCAATGCCAAGTTTCTCCCATCCCAGAGGATCATCATTCCAGTCAACACAACCAAAGGAACCACAGTTGTTTGTCTCTGTTGAAGGAAATTTTTTTTTAAATAAGCTCAAGTCATATATAATCAAGTATTGTTAACTCAAAACATATTTATAAGGACATAAAATAAAAACTCACTTTTACAGCAAGGATTTGCAAATGACTTAATTTCACAAAGGAAGTCAAATATTTCTTTTCTACAGATTCCAATAATCCTCCAGTTATTGTAAAGATCTGTAATCCCTGATGCCATTGCATAGGAGGGGAAGAGGAGGAATATCCAGTCCAACAGGTCAGCCACATGCCCAAGCTCAAGGTCAGGAATGCGCAAGATGGTCACTGTGATTAGGGTTGCCATTCCTGAAAAAGCAGTACGAAATTACCATATGCTTTTCCACTCGCATATTAGAACATAAAAGTACACGCACACACACACCAAGGCCTACCTGTTATGACATTGTAGATGATCATTCTTGTGAAGCCTGTTGATGCTTCAGCAAATGTGAAGGAGCAGAGATACATCAGTGGTAAAGAAACCCACACATAGAAGACAAAGATAATCATTACTCTGCCCAGCTGCTCTGGCTCACTTAAACCCTCTCG